TGGTTATTTGCCATTTTTTCGGTATGTATATGTCATAAGGGTGTAAAGTTCTATTAATGTTTCACCATATAAACTTTTATATGGTCATAATCCAATACTACTAGCAGAGTTGGGTTTACCTTCATAATTGTTACAAACTACCAATACTAGGTTGTGGGATCAATATTTGACAAATGTTCTTCTACTTGTCTGAGCAAAATTTGTTGAACACCTAGGCCTTATACAAGTGGGACAACAATGATGCTACAACTCCCATTATTGTCTACTTATAATGTACAATTTGGATGATTTGGTGTTAGCTCATTTTCCCAATCTTATAATACATAATTTATCTAAAAGGCTCCTTGCTCAATGGAAAGGACCATATTGGTTGTTGAAGTAAGTTAAACCTCAAGTTTATAATGTTTGTCCAATAAGTCAATCCTCTAAAAATTATGCATATGCAACAATTGAAATGTTTTGTACAAAGGGATCAAGAATAACTAACACCACCTACAAATCCATCAATACCTCCTTTCGATGTTCCTTCAGATCCTGGCTCATTTATGAAAGAATCTTGATAGTCTTTTATCATTCCAAGAGGAGGGGATGTTATGAGGTATAAATGTATGACTTAAATTTTTAGTTTTTATTGCTTCTTATCTTCTTAAGAACCTTAGAAAAATCTTTCAAATGAAAGAATAATATATAAATATATATTGCTTTAACCAACATACATTAATAATTGCTAGTTGTCAAAATATTCTCTCTTGATTCAATGAATTGCATTAAGATAGGACTTTGACTTTTCTAAACAATTTAATCTAGTAAAAACTTTCAACCCAAACCCAAGTACTTTAAAGTTCGCAAGAATAATTATTTTTTCAAATTTATAAAACTTCTAATGTATTGACTTTTGTCGATTTATGCCGAGTTAAGCTAACATGAGTTCAACTCAACCGCCCACCCACCTGAGACCATTCATCCCACAAGTGGTCCTAGATATAGAGGAACTCTATCCTCCAACATCTCTTCTTTGATCTTCCCAAAGTCCCTCTTCAAGCAACACTCACCAATACTGCCACTGGATCGGGGTCTGAAAACACACGCATTAACTCTATCATGTAACCAGAGTAATATTGGCTCTGTGGAACTAGGATGGAGAATGCAGCCCAGGATCCAAGTGAGTTGAACGAGTGGAAGACATCGAACACGTCCTGATTTATTATGTATACACAGTTTCGCTGGTCCCATCCAGGGAGACTATGGAGCTCAGCAGCACACATAATCCTCGAAGGCACTGCATGGGCAACACAACTTTTCTCCTTTGTGATATGAAGATCACTAGGCAAGAAATCGTGACTCAAACTCATGGAAGTGCTGACACAGGCTAAACAGTGAACAATCGTCCAAATAACTGTACCAAGGCTGAAGGGAGGTAAGTGCAGAGCAAACTCCCCACTACGAAGATAGCATGCGAACGAACTTAACTTATAGCTTTCTTAAATCCCTCAGTCTCATGCTTCTCATGGGGATGAATGAATGAATGACAGCAGCCATCAAGAATCAAGAAGGATAATCACTTCCGATGTATGGTTCGATCCTTCATGCCTTCACGCTTCTGAAGTGTTTCTACCTGCAGGTGCAGGCTGACAGCGCTTGCACAGCAACTTCAAAGTTGATGTACAGTGACTGCATTCTATTGTAGCCGGCGACTTGAAATTGAGAGTGGTTTGCTGTGGTTTTAATTTTAATGATTAAAGCAAGAGACGGGCACGAACTCCTCCCTGTTGGCTGCAACACCCCTGGACTGAAATCGTTCCCCTCCTCTCTCTCCAACGATGCAAACATAGCTCGGACCTTTGATCTTGACGCCCAGGCACAAGCGGGCTCTTTCAAGCCATTCGACGCCAAAACAAACAAGCTCCATCGCGGAACGCGTGGAACACCAAATGACAGACTTTTGAAACTGTATTTGATTGTGATGCTTTGAGTTCGCCACTGTTGCTGGAGAGACAGAACAAAACCTTTGAATGGAAAAGCTATGCAATGTTTTTCTCATATATATTTGCCAATCTCCATCTTTTTCTTTATTGCCCGATGTCCATGGTAGATGAACGAGTCGATGATGCCAGAGACAGTGAAAACCCCTGTCAACCCCAGCCACACTCAATTAGATCTTGGAATGCAGCAACGAGGGGATGACTTACCTCCGATGATGGCACAGACGTTTGTGAGAAAGTGAAGGAAGGATGTCTTTCTCTCAGTAAACAAAACCTGCGGGTACATATCAAGTTACGAAGAATGGCCACAGATCTTTGACGAACCTTGATAGGCGAGAGCTCGTAAAAGAAGAAAACTCCAGGCAACGAACGACCATTTAAACCTTCTACTGCCTTGAAATGATCTGTTACTGAGAACTGAAGCAAATCGCTGTTAATACCTTCGCATCTAGAAAGGACAAAGAAGAAACTATGACCTGGTTTGTGACAATCTTGTGCCCGGTCATATCCGTGTACGCAGTCGGAACCACCTGGTAAAAGAGAGTTGCAACGAGGGAAACAAAAATGACAAAGAGCTATACCTTGATGAAATATTGGTACATAGCGGATGGAAACTTTTGAATGCGCTTCTCTCTGCAACTCATTCAAAGATTAAAAAAAAGTCTTACTTGTCACACGACCCCGCTTACTTGTCAAGAGGGTTCACAACTCCTGGAAACCGAGCGCCAAAGCTAAGCTCGTTGATGTAATGGCTGACCTGCAAGAAGAAAGAACGCTGCATAAAAAACGTAACAGCACCATAGCTTACATTGAATTTCTCCTTGTGAAGGGACTGAACGTCATGGACGTGCACATGTTGTTGTGAAAAGCTCTTGCCAGGAGCAAAATGAAAGTTCCCGGCAACCTTGTTCACCTCCAAGGACCCATAGATATTGCATCCCTCCCCTTCTTCTTCCTTGATCTTTGTAAGCCACCCCTCGCGTTTACACTGCGTTGTTTTTGTTAGATCTCAGACACAAGGCCAGACAAGGAAAAACGAAAACTGCAAACTCCTTAGTTCACTTAGTGCACCTGGTCAATCAAATCGGCATTGTGTATTGCCCAACCTCGTTTTCGGTACGCTTCCCGGACCTCTTCGCAGCTATTACAGCACTCATCATCTGACTGATGGAAGCAGGACGAGTTAGTAGCCATACGATATGGCGATACCTTAGCTTACTTGCTCGGCACCAAAACAGGAACCACAGTACGTTTCGTTATGCTCTAGCCTTCCACCATGTTTTTGGAGTGGTTTATCAATCTAGCAACAATCGAATGTTAAGGTCGAGAAAACTCGAAGGAAATCAATTTACCTTTGGACCACCGATATCTTCCTGGACTGGAGGCTGAACGACCTTTCCCGAGGGATCTAATCTCTTCTTAAATATGTTATGTTTCTGCAAGCAAGAACAAGGATTGATAAAGAAGAAAAAAATGCTCTTGACTGATAACATACCACGTCCAAGTGTTGTTCTCCACTAACGTCCATCGCATCCAGACTAATAACCGAGCACGCTAGAGCCGGAAAGGTGATATCAAACTGTCATAGAATCACCCGTCAGCGTAGTGGGATTTTATTTTCCCTTGCGGAGAAATTTCCTTTCTTACATTGATTTGCAAGGTCTCTCCTCGAGATGTATCGACCAAGAGCTCGCTCGTGGTACCCGGAAGAAGAAACAATTCTACAAAGCCAAAGCCAAACGTGATCCATAGAACGAGCAATTGATACAAAAGACCACGTACTAAGCTCCGTGATGAAGAGGATCGCCATGAAAATGGAGGAGACAACAGTGATGACTCCCCCGGACAGCGTGCGGCTGTGGAAGTCCTCATTGATCTTGGGATACGCATCCAGCTGCTGGAGCTTTTTGAGCATCTGCATCGCTCGCGGCCGGCGGTGGAAGATTCCAAGCTCTCCAAAACCCTACCGATGGATGGGATCGATCGATCGATCGGCGCTCAAACCTGGAAGTATTCCCGAGCTAGAAGCGGGCGCGGGGCGGTAAGCGCCGCGCTTGCGCCATCGCCAAACAAAGACACGCCCGCCTCGCCTGCCTGACCTTGGGAGGGATAAACTTCTACCTAGTAAGTATGTATAGTATTTACCTAGTCATTATAACTGTTTGACTCGCTGGCTAGAACGTAGGAGAAAGAGATCATTGTCTAGGTGGGCTTGGATTGAGGATAAATTCTTGCACGAATTCGTTACAAAGGAAAGCATAGCATATTCCAGCCTTTTGGCTGCTCTTTGTTTGAGCTTGACTCCAATTCCAAAAGCAAATGCCGAGCTTTAAAACGCGCTGGATGATCAGTCTTCCCTCATCATACACAAAATAAGTCTTCCCTCATCATACACAATATCGAAGATGAAGGTGACGCTGGTTTGCAAGAAGTCGGACAGGAGAATCTTGTACCTGGAAGCGAGCAAGGAATGCGTGGACGTCCTCTTCTCTTTTCTGCTGCTACCAGTCGGCTCGTCCATGAAGCTCGTGCACGGCGAAGCACAGGTGGGCGTTGCCAGGATCTTCACCAGCGTCCAGCAGATGGACGACGCCGTCATGCACGTCGACAAGAAGCTCCTGGTTGATCCTCAAGCTCCCGAAGGATTCATGGACAAGCTCCTGGGAATCGAGAACGCCTTGGCCAGCTCTGGTGGTGCCGCTGCCTCTTTCAAGCCCAGTGATCACAGCTTCTACCGTTGCTCGTCGGGAAGACTCTGTCCAGCGATTGCCATGGATGACAACACGCAGAGATGCACCACCTGTGGCTTTGTCATGAATGTCCCTGTGCAAGTGCTTGCGAGCCCAGCAGCCGCCACCAGACCAGCCAAACCTCTTTCTTCCTCGTCTCAGGGCTTTGTCAAGGAGAATGTAACTTTCATGATCACTGACGACCTCCAAATCTTCCCAGTGTCAGTGGCCAAGAGCGTGGCTCTGATGAGCATGTATAAAGTGGAGGCCGTGTCGGATCTCGAAACAATTGAGCTTCAACTTGGACCCGTTGAGGTTTGCATTGTTTTCTACCTGTTGCTACCGTTTTACTCACGAATCTTTTCGCTGCCAGGTTCTCCAGCTCCTCAAAACAAGCTTAGGATCACTGACAGTCCTCAACGACGTGTTCCAAGCTCGTCTTCCAAAGTTCGCTCCACAGAGAGTGAGATACCCGTAGAAGAGCCAAGATTGCCTGTCAATAGCAAAATCCTGTGTCAGCGCACAAGCTAAATGAAAATAAAATCAGACCATTTCTTACAGGTAATACTTTGAGAGCACACTTTTTCGTCTGCCAAACCGCCAGAGAAACAACACGCTGAGAGAGAGCTTTGAAGATATGCTTTGTCAAGGTTGCGACCTGGTGTATATGAACACAATTGATAACTTAGAACTGTAAAAACTGTAAAAATGGTTACCGATGATAACTATCTTGCTCTGGCGCTTCTCGGCTGGCCGCCACAGCCTCCCGGGAAGAATCTCGTATAGTTCACGGACAGCCTGCAACAGAACTATGATGCGAAAGAATCGAACTAAACACCAAATTCTACCTGTAGCAAATGCATTTCCTGCGCACCATGAACATGAAGTATGGCCTTCATTCGATAAATTTCCATTTTCTTTTCCCAAAGAATATCTCCCAGCCAATCATCCACCTACAAGGCAAAGTTTAGCTCGGAGTAAAGCACAACGTCGTCGTCCTAACCTTCTTCAAAATCACGGGCCTGTCGTCTTCGATGCTGGTTGTTGTGACCGTTTGGCCATGCAAGTTTGCGTCGTGCTTCCTCTCAAGTTCCCGGAGGTTAATCGAGTCCTAAACACCACAGGAAGAAGATAGTATAGGCTCCAAGGAGAAGACAAAGAAGGAAAAAACGAAAACAAAGACCATTACCCTGGTAGCATAAGCTCTCCGATTGAGAACTACATCTAAATCAACCTCGCAGCGTACAGCCTCCAAGACAGTCGCAATAGAGTTGATCCCAGCAACTCGTTGTTTCACATCCGTTAGCGTGCACTCGTCAACCAGATCGACTTTGTTGAGAATGATCACGTCCTACAGAAAAGAAGCAGAAAAATTTAAAAAAATTAAAAAAAATCTCAGCATGTTTTCGCTAGTGATAGAGAAAGGTTTCATACTGCATGCGCTAGTTGCAAGAATGCTTCAGCGTCCTCCCTATCATCCAGCTGATGCTGCAAGTTCCTGGCATCAACCACCTGATTTATAATGTCAAAGGATCAATCTATCTAGAATGCAATCAACTTTACCGTGACTATGGCGTCCAGTCTCACCGACGATTCAAGCTGATCATCGATCCAAAGAGTGGATGCCACTGGACCCGGATTGGCAAGCCCGGTTGTCTCGAGCAAGACATGCTCACACCTGTAAGAAAAGCCATGAAAAAAAGTGAAAACTTCGGGGAAGAAATTCACCTGTCACGGCGCTGGGTGAGCTGTTCTAGTGCCTGAACAAAGCTGTGCTTGACATTGCAACAAACACAGCCATTGGGGAGCTCGATCCATTCCTCGACAAGCGCACCGGATTCACCTTCATTAATCATCGCCCTCTCCACACCGAGCTCGTCGCCAAATTCATTGAGAATGACGGCTATTCGCTTGCCGTGCTGGGCATGGAGTATGAAATTCACCAGCTGCGATCAAACTCACTGTGAAAATCCATTGCTTGCTCGCGCAAGAATGCTACCGTAGATTTGCCAGCACCGAGGTAGCCAGTGATGATTGTGATCCCGACCGCCTCCACATTCTCATTCCCGCAATCCAGCGCCACGGCCTCGGGGACAAACTCTTCATCCATACCAGTTGCCCTAAAATTCAGGGTTTCAAGCAAACAATCCGAAGATCATGGATTTATTTCTTCATAGTTTGTGCTCTTTTAGATTCCATTTTCTAGGGAAACACTCTCTTCTCGTCGTCTTTGTCCTTGCTCTTGTCCTTGCCATCCATATTCTTCTCATCCTTGTCTTGCTCGTCCTTCTCCTTGCTCTTGTCATCCATATCCTCTTTTTTCTTCTCCTCCCTCTTGTCATCCTTGACTTCCTTGTGTTTCTTCTCTCCTGTGTCATCCTTAGCCTTGTTATCGTCCTTTGAATCTACATGATCATCCTTACACTTGAAATTGATGTTGATGTTGATGTTGTTGCTATTGTGGCTCCTCTTCCTGTCCATGCCTTGGTGAAAATCGTCACCATCATCCCCAAAAGATAGAGCGGCTGGTGAATCCTGCTGTTCATGAACTCCACCGACGGACAAGAGATCCCTACTTGAAGAAGAGAAAGTAACCTCAAATGTGGCGAACACAAGCACAAGAAACACTAGAGCAGCCTTCATTGTGACACGAGAACTTTCGGTTGCTTTGAGCATAGGTTTGATTGATTCATTATATATGATCCAGCATGCATTGCCGGTGCCAAGTATGTCCGCTCCTTCATGCAATTATACTATTTCATTTCTATCAAAGCCCATAGTAAATGGAATTGGGTTGACTGGTCATCGTCAACGAGTTGAATAGATGGAATATCCGGGCACCGTCATGGTCAGAATATTCTGTCACATTCTAACGGTCACTGGGACTGCCGATGGTAAAAAAGAAAAAGCAGCCGTTGTCCCGTGGTGGTAAATATTGGCGAGCTAGCTACCCGTTTGGAGAATGTCGAGTTATTACTATACATAAAAACTACCAAAGGGGTTTCCGCCGCCGCATTTTTACTTGCCCTCCGCTTCCCTGCGCGTCCATTCATCGTCGTCTTGTTTGATCCAGGGTTTCATACTCTCTCTCTTTTCCGACAGCGCGCGCTAGCTAGGTATGATCGATTGATTCTTTGGGGCGCCAGGCGAGCAAGAAGCTCGTCGTCTTGATGCGCGATCGGCGAGAGGAAGCGCCGCAGCAGCCATGGCGAATAGGAATTCTTCAATCCAGGGCCCCCGCGTCTACGTTTTCACCATCACGATCTTGCGAGTGACGCGCATCCCGTCGCCTATGCGCCTCTCCTTCAGCACCAGCTCTAGCTTCCGGATTCCGGCCAAGAGAAGCTTAAAGATCACAGTCCTGCATGGGTCCAAGCAGAAGGAGCTGGGCGAATTCGACATCGTGCAAGACGAGTGCCTCATCGACCAGAGGATTAGCTGCCGCCTCTTCTGCGCCAAGGAAGACGACCTCGGCAAGCTCCACATTTACATAGGTATGAGCGATTTGATTTGCTCTTTCTCTCGACTAAAGCTTTATATTTTGTTTCTCCTTTCCTCCTTGGAATCGCAGATCAGGTAGATGATCGCTCGCCCTCCATCCTCGATTTTTCATGGAATGATGAACGGGTCCAACTCTCGTGGTTTTGTTTCTATTAACAGGCTTACAGTTCTGGTTTGGCGGGTCATATTGCTCTTGACTTAAAAGAGGTAAGTGTGCCCAAACTTGGTCATTTCTTTGTTAATAACGTGTACCTCCTAGTTTCTCGACGACATGGATTCGGAGGTGTACATCAAATATCCTCTCTGTGCGTCCAGTCCGCGTGAAGGCTATGTACCCAAACTGAAGGTAGAGCTCTCTTCCTTGGAATATATTTCTCTTGTGCATTCGACGTGAGAATAAAATAAGAATGCTTGGTGTAATGCAACAGATGACGCTGGAATGTACGTGCCTTGGTAATCCAGAGAACCTGTTCATTCCGGATCTCGACACTATAATACATCACAAGCAAAGGTAAGCCCGCGACCCGGTGGATGCAACTTTTGCTGTACCTAATACGTTTTTCTTATTCAAGCCTTCCGAGTGACATCTTGGACGCAAGCTTCACCGAGGGAGGCGGCTGCAGCAATCAACAGCTCCGTAGAAGTCAGGTATGTATGTTCCATGTAAAATTGCTGGGAGAGACGTGATCTCATTTCTACATTGTTTTTATGGCAGCAGGATGGAGCCGAGCTTTCTCCAGAGGTAAACAGACTGTTTCGAATGTTAGATTAGATCACCCGGCTGAGTGAACATCTTAATCTTTAAATGCAGATGAACTTACTGGAAGAACTAGAGACGGTGCTCTTCAAGCTGGATTCCAAGCTGAAGAACTTCGTGGCTACTTGCAAGACGGAAGACGAGAAAGGTCTGGCAAAAATCTAACAGTGGCCGTCTAACGGAGCTGAGCTATGATCCGTGCAGATATACCAGTGGACAGTAGCACGCTCTTGAGAAGGCCGCCGGCGTCGGCCGTGGACAAGGGGGACGATTGCTCCGACTGCATTGTGTGCTCCAAGGGCCTGGTAGACAAGTTTCAAGGATTATCTTCCAGCCTCTCCAGCTCCTGCGACGCAGCAGAGGTACGCTGCTCCAAAGACTTTGGAAGCAATGCTGCGGAGGAGGAGGAGCAGAAGGTGGAGACGAGGCAGAGGCCAAACATGTTGCGAAACGTGTTTGGAGGAGCGCTGCTGGTGGGACTGTCCATCTTTGCTGCTACAAGCCTCACGAAGCGGGAGAGGCCACTGTGGCGGCCAAGTTTCTCGACGAAACGAGGGAGAGCGTCCACTAATCCAAGTTCCGAGCAGTGAGAAAGGAGCTAACGCGATGCCGGTTTGGATCTCAAGCCATTTTGAGTGAGTCTAGACTACTAAAGTTCTTGTAAAGCTTTTCTCCTTTGTAACATAGAACGTAATAGGGTTCTTGGCTATGGAGCCTTCTGGTCGGGTGTTCGTCACGGTTGGCACCACCAGCTTTGATGCCTTGATTCGTATCGTCGACAGCAACGAATTCCAAGACGTGCTACTCTCGCGAGGCTACTCGTCACTGCGCCTCCAAATTGGCCGCGGAACGTACCTCCCACAAATCACGACGCGCGAGCGCGACGACGATCACCATCGTCTCCGAGTCGACTACTTCACATTTGCTCCCAATCTGGGCGAGCAGCTGAGCAGCGCCGATCTGGTCATCAGTCACGCGGGTGAGTGATCCATGGATCGATCGATCGATCAATCGACTCAAAAGAATGTGATTGAATGCCAGGGTCCGGGAGTATCTTCGAGACGCTACGCGCGGGCAAGCCTCTGGTGGTAGTGATCAACGAGGATCTCATGGACAATCACCAGTGCGAGCTCGCCGAGGAGCTGGCGCGCAATCGATTCTTGATCTGTGCAAAGCCGTCCACGCTGGTGGCCGCCGTCAAGGCGATGGAGCTCGGCACCCTGCTGCCATATCCTCGCTCCTCGCCCGCGGCCCTGGTGGCGGCATTGGACAAATTTCTTGGATGAAAACCAAAATTTCTACCTAAGGGTCTAGCTAGGGTTTTGGCGATGGCGACGCCCGCGGCGCTGTGGTGGGAGTCTCACAGGGATCTGTTCGAGGATCTCGAGGATTTCGCCGCCGCGGAGGACTCCCAGGACGATGGCGATGCCACTCATCGCCGTCAGCGCAAGCGCATCGAACTGGTTGGTATCCATCCATTGGTGTGTCTTCAAGAGAGAATGTAGCATCTTTGCCACCGATTGTTTGCAGGAGGAGAGGCTGCTGGAGCACCAAAACTGGCTGATCGACATGCTTCTCGCTTTCAAACGTCCAAATGCCGCCTCCAACCAAGCCTTGAAGGGATCCAAGATCACTGTCGGTTCGCATTCTTTGGATGTCAAGCCTGAGCTACAGGGCACTGCTCTTGGGATCAGCAAGCATCTGGTAGGCCTCTACAGCAGTACTTGATCTCGAGAAGAATTCTTTGTGTTGCTCTTTGTAGGACCTGGATGAGATTCAAAGCTATATTCTTCTCTCGAGGCATATGGAAAATAACCCCTCGGTGCCTTGCGACGATCCATTACTGCCACAAAGCGTAAGTTTTCTCCTTCCGATCCATTCAAGTATTAATGCGCAAGTTTTCCAGGTTGCCATAACTTACTTTCTGGAAAGACAATGCTTACTCAAATGCACCCGCCTTCTTCTCACAATGCAATGCATGTCTAGGAAGGTCCAGGATCTCATTGACAAGGATCTGGGCAAACGGGCGCTTGAAAACCTGAACCACGTAGTCACTTCTACACGGCCTGAGCAATGGGTTCGTACTTTGGATGATTCCCATGTCTCTGATGCTTCGTTTGTTGCAGGATTCCAAATTTTCGGACGCGTGGGCCGATGAAATAGTTTCAGAAGAGTCTTTGCTTATGGACATATTATTTATGACCTTTTCGGACTCCCGCTGCAGCGTCCAGACATGGAAAGATTTGTTTGTTTCTTTCCAGGTACGTAGCACTGATTGCCAAATGGAATGATGGTTTCTTTGCTGATTCTGCAGTTCGTATTCGAAGCACGGTACAGTGAGAGGCTAGCAGTTACATCGGAGGCAGAAAAGACACTTGCCCACGTAAGAAGTCAAGCTTTATTGATCCTTATAGAGGTGCTGGATCTACGATTAGTTCTCACTTTGGTGCATGGAGAAATATCATTCAGGTAAAACCTGTCGTACCTCTTTTTTTCCTCCAATTTACGCTTCAAATACTTCAGCCAAGGAGGCCATGGCTTTTCAGCTGACGAGTTACAAGAACTGGATGTTGTTTTATCTGGCCTTGACCTCACCGTGACTACCGAGTATGCACCCCTTTTGCTCGCATGGGCAACTTTTATCTGTTTGGTATCGTCACTTCCCGATCAGGCTATGGTTCTGGTGAGTATTAGATGCCCCATGCGCACGATTTATTTTCTTTTTCATCCTGCAGGACATAGAACACGCCGTTTACGCCCAGCAGGCCTTTAAGTACGGGGCTTATGCCTTTCTTTTGAAATTCATGCGCTCGGAGCAACTGAAAGATTCTGACGTGAGTGAGTATGTGGGCTTATTGTTGTGGAACCTTGTCTTA